CATGTGGCGTGCGTTTTGTACTAATTGTGCCATGCGCCGCCTGCGAGACGTCCCACTGTGGCAACGCCTCCGCATGCTTGATCGTTTTGTGCTGTCAGTGTTCGACTATCGATGATGCAGCGGGTGGCCGCCCGCCGCAACCCTGGATGGGGCGCACGGATATTTGTCAGCGTCGCATGGTCAGCCTTCTGATGCGGGGGCCGCGACAAACCGGTGAAGAAACGCCAACCTACTTCCGGCGCAGAGCCAGGGACGCCAAGGATCTCTGTAGTCAGAGGCGTCGGTGGAGCCATCGTCACTGCACTCGAGTGCTGACTTGGCGAGAGCACCTCGAGCGGCCGCGGAGCCGTCGTCCTTGGGCGGCCCAGCGCCTGCGCTGGCAGGGCGAGCGCTGGCTCCCTCCCAAACTGGAGGACGCAGCTGAACAGCTACAGCGCTCACGCTGGACGCGCGGACACGAGATGAGCGGCTCGTCGTCCACGACAACGGTGGCACGATGGAGCCAGGTTTGCTTTAGAGCAAGTGCTGCCTGGCCCGCATGCTATTCTTTATCCTCTGTTGACCCCCCCTCTCCCCTCGCACGAGCGTGAAGTCTTGCAGCAGCTCAAGCGCTGCAGCGGGCAAGTCGTCTGCTGTGCGCTTATCTTCGCGCAGTGTGTTGTTTTTGCGCACGCTGCTTGCGGTGTTATCCCGCCTTCTGATTCTGATTATGATCCCCAGGGCTCAGGACCACTTATGGGGCACGGCTTCTTTGCTCCACCCTGACTGCGGATCTGCCGGGCTGTGGGCTGTTTCGCAAGCAGGGCGGACATTCCCGCCCTACTGCTCCTTTGATGCATCTTTCCGCCCCACGTTGCAGTCGATGTTCCAAACAGATTGTTGCGGAAAGTGCCGCTTCTTATTCTAAGACAGAAGTTCGCCCTCGTTGTTCGCATCGTCTGTGGTGCATGTCCGACACGCGTGCAAGTAGGATAATCAACCAACATCCAGCGGATCCAGAGTCCGAGCCCAGACGCCGAAAATTACGAAAACATCCCGCCTTGATTTTTGCAGCACCTTGGAGGCCCGCGCCCCTCCTGGGGTGTCCCCCGCCGCACATGGCCCCAATCGCAGTCGGGCTGCCGCGCCGCGGGCGAGAAGCGCGGCCCGCCAGGCAATGAGGAGCTGGGCGGCGGCGCTGCAGCTCCCCGCGAGCGGCCTCGACGTGAGGACCGGCCGGCCGCACGCCCGGGGGGCACTGGCGTGGTCGCGCGCGCCTCGACGACCCTGAGGTCTGCCGCCGCCCATGCTGTTCGCGTCACGAGGGCTCTGCACCGGAGCGGCGGTCATGGCCGACACGGGGTCACACAGCCCCGTTGGGGTTGGCAGCGCTACACAAAAGGGACGCGGCCATCTGGGCATTGTAAACTGTTTCGCGCCGCGCGTGTTCGCCCAGTTTCGGGCCCCTGGACCATCACAGATCGATCAGAGCCCGAGAGATGCCACAGAAAGAGAGGTTCGGCGTCCAGTCGAGATTTCTCGCAATGGTGCAATTTTTCGCAACGTCGGATCTTATGGAACCTGCGGCGCTGAAAAAACAGCCTAACATGTAATCGCCAGGCTATATCCATTTCCATCGTCTCAAAGCAGTGCTTCGGGATCTCTATGACCCTTCGAGGAGTGGGTAGATACGTGCATCTGGATATCTGCGCGCTCTAGAGATGTGGGAACATATGCACATCCACCGCTCCCTAAGGGGCTCCATGGCAGGATTTCCGCGGCTGTGGATGTGGATACCTTTTGGTGGTGCAAAGGATGCCAAGAAGCTGGAAGTCCGTTATTCAATCGTTTCGTTCATTCCGCCGGCCCATAGTGCATCACTGTTGCTCTTTAAGCGTGCTCTTGGCGAGCGAGAAGCACGAGGAGGAGGAGGAGGAGGAGGAGGCCTTTCGAAATGTCAGGAAGCTGGATTGGAGAGGCCTTACGGCCGGTGCCGCCGACCTTGAACGACGACGACAACGACGATGCTGACGTGGGTCAGAGTCCTCAGGGATGCTTCTTGGGGTCTCTTCGGAGCGCTCTCGGGTGCCTCTGGGGTGTACTTTGGGGGCCTCTTGGGAGCCTCTTGGGGGCCTGTTGGGAGGCTCCTGGGGGCTTCCTTGGGGCTTCGCGGGCGCATCTTGGGGGCGTCTTGGGGGCTTTTTGGCGCATCCTGGGAGCGTCTCATGCCGAGGGCTTGAAATCTCCGTTCGGGTCGGGAGTGCTCTTGGAGGCCTCTTGGGACGTCTTGGAACCGTCTGGAGGCTATTGTTTTGGGTCTTGGACCGATAGTTCGGCGATTCGGTGCCCTCTAGGAACGTCTTTGGAGCCTCTTGGGGCAGTCTTGGTTCATCTTGAGAGGTTTTGGGATTCGGGACACCCCGGGGGGGGGGGAGCATTCTGACCCGGGACTCCCCCGGACCCCCCCCCTGGGTCTCCCCCGGGACCCCCCCCCCCGGGACCCCGCCCCCCCCTGGTGGAAGGGATCAAGGGAAAGGGTCTCCCTTCGGGTGACTTACGACGTTTGTTGTTGTCGTTTGGGCTGGCACGCTTGAAGAGGAAGACCCAGGGTAAGAGAGGCAACGGCTGGCGTATTGGAGAAGGAGACCCAGGAGAAAGCCAGCTTTGGCGACGGCCACGGCCACGGCCGTGGCGACGGCCGCGGCGACGGCGACGACGACGACGACGGCGACGACGACGACGACGACGGCGACGACGACGACGACGACGACGACGACACGACGAGTGAAACAGCGACGAATGAAAGAGCCTCTTCCACGCGCCGACAGGGTCGGCGGATTTTTTCCTTCCTTCAGTTTGGCCTCCGGGAGCCGTTGTCGGGCCCTGGAGCATCAAGGCGGAGGTCTTTCCTCGCTTTCGGCATCTATAGGGGCCCCCGCCAGGCCCCGAGGCCGTCAAGAAACGACCCGGGGGCGAAAAGGTTCTGTCCCCGGGAAGTGGTCCAGAGCTCCTGGGACCCCGTATCGAACAAAAGCAAGACGTCAGAGGTGTGGGTGCAGCTGCCGCGGCGGGCCTGGGCGAGAGCTGGACACACACGTGGCCGCAGGCGCCTCCCCGGCGCTCGGCCCTGCTTTGGCCGTGCAGGCCAGGGCTTCCGCCGCCGCACGTGTGACCAGCACGTGGCCTCAGGGTGTGCCACGACGCCCAAAAAAGGGGCCGTCTGCGCCGACATTCGCGCTGAAGCTGCCCGCGCAAGGCCGCGGGCACTCAGCGCCCTCGCTTCCAAGAAAGCGCGCCGCGCTGTGGCGGCCCGCGCAGGCCACCGCGCAGGGCCGCTATGTTTATGTCATCTCGTGTGAGACCCCTCTCCCCAGACCCCCTCGAGTAATGAAAAAATCACGACGGGAGGTTTTTCCTAATCTTCGGCCTCCTGGGGCCCTCACCGGGCCTCGGGAGCTTCAAAAAACGACTCAGGATGCAAAGCCGGTCATGGGGAAAGGGTCGGGACCTCTGGGGGTCGACGTAATGAAAAAAACATTACGTCGGGGGTCTGGGTCTGCGGGACGGGAAAATGACCACAGCCACTGCTTCTTGTTTGCGCCGCCTTCCAGCCGGCCGAAAAAGAAGCAGTGGTTGTGGTCATTTCCCTGGTGCCAAGCTCAACGAAAATGACCACAGCCACTGCTTTGTTGCTGCGGGCTGGAAGGCGGCATCAAAAGAAAAGCAGTGGCTGTGGTCGTTCTCACGCCCCGTACCCTCTCTTCTCGTCGCTCGCATGTGGATCTGGCCAGGTCCGTTTCCGGCCTCCTGGCGGCCGGGGCGCCGCTCGGCGCTCCTGGGCGCCGAGTGGCCCTGGGGTCGGGGGAGGAAGAGTCTGCGCCAGGCTCAAGTCGGGCCTGTCCCCCTACAGGGGGATTTTCGACGAAAGATATAAAAGATACCCCCAAAATAGTCCAAAAATAGTCTGGGGACTATCTTTTGAGTATTTTTTGCCTTTTTGGTGCATTTCTGGAGGTGTTTTTAATTTTTCGTCGAAAGCCCCGCTGTAGGGGGACACGCCCGACATGACGCCAGGAGGGCCCCGCCCGTGGCCGGGAGCCGGCGTGCACCAGCGCCGCCACGGCCCCCCCCCGGGACGGGTCTGTGGTCGGGAGCGCCTCCTCCTCCTCCTCCTCCTCCTCCTCCCTCCTCCTCCTCCTCCTCCTCCTCCTTCTCCTCCTCCTCCTGCTCCTGCTTCTGCTTCTGCTCCTGCTCCTCCTCCTCCTCCTCCTCCTCCCTCCTCCTCCTCCTCCTCCTCCTCCTCCTCCTCCTCCTCCTCCTCCTCCCCCCTCCTCCTCCTCCTCCTCCTCCTTCTCCTCCCTCCTCTCCCTCCTCCTCCTCCTCCTCCTCCTCATCCTCCTCCTCCTCCTCCTCCTCCACCTCTTCCCCCTCCTCCTCCTCCTCCTCCCCCTCTTCCTCCTCCTCCTCCTCCTCCTCCTCTCCTCCTCCTCCTCCTCCTCCTCCTCCTCCTCCTCCTCCTCCTCCTCCTCCTCCTCCCTCCGCCTCCTTTTTTGCCTCCTCCTCCTCCTCCTTTTTTGGTCCGCGTGTTGCGCCGCCGGTTCTGGCCCAGCACGCTGCGGCGCGAGGCGCCAAGCCCTCCCCCTCCTGCTCCTGGTCCTGCTCCTGCTCCTGCTCCTGCTCCTGCTGCTCGTCGTCGTCCTCCTCCTCCCTCCTCCTCCTCCTCCTCCTCCTCCTCCTCCTCCTCCTCCTCCTCCTACTCCTCCTCCTCCTCCTCCTCCTCCTCCTCCTCCTCCTCCTCCTCCTCCTCCTAATCCTCCTGCTCCTGCTCCTTCCTCCTCCTCCTCCTCCTCCTCCTCCTCCGCCTCCTCCTTCTCCTCCTCCTCCTCCTCCTCCTCCTCCTCCTCCTCTCCTCCTCCTTCCTCCTCCGTAGCCATTTTGGCTCAAGGGCCGACAGGATGCTGGTTCTCTGCGCTGTCTCCTGGTGCTGCGAGTTGATTATTTCTCCGACTTTCACACCCATGGGTGATACGTCTCTTGCCGCGCTTCGGGTGTTTCCTCGACGGCATCGCATTTCTATTCGTACCTCTGCGACGTTCGCCGACGCGGTACAGGCGTGCTTGGCTACGCGATGCCACGGGCATGGGCACACTGTGCGCCCCAGTCGCCTCGGAGTGTGGCCCACATGCAGCTCGGGTGTTTCGGGGACTGCGGCTGCACCACGGTCTGAGCTCGTCCGCGGGTTGCGACACCAGAGCTCACTGCATGATCTGGCTCGCACCGCTGAGGAAGATGGCACAGCTGACAGCCAGACCCTTACCTACATGGAGCGCACTCTCCAGGATCGGCTCGGGCAACCCTCGTGCCCGGGGTCCCGCTCGGCGCCGCCTTCGCCCGCGAGGCACGCGCGCCCGTGCCGACAGGCCCTGCCCGACGATGTACCTGGAGAGCCAGGCCCTGTTCGTGCCGACGGGCCTGAGGCTGAACCCGTTCCTGCCGATGGACCGGCAGAGCCAGATGCTGGGCATACCAGCGCATGTTTCCTCGGCGAGGACCGTCGAGGAGCATCCCTGGATCGTTTCGCATCAACACAGCACGCGCGAAGCCGACAAGTGCGCATACCAGCGCATGCCTCCTCGGCGAGGACCCTCGAGGAGCATCCTGGATCGTTTCGCATGAACACAGCACACGTGAAGCCGACACATGCGCGTACCAGCGCATGCTTCCTCGGCGAGGACCCTCGAGGAGCATCCTGCATCGTTTCGCATGAACACAGCACACGCGAAGCCGACAAATGCGGATGCTCACGGACCTGCTCCTGCGCCAGCCCGCCTTGGTGCACCTGCAGCGCCAGACCCTGCTCATGCCGAGGGGCCTGCACTGGACATGTACTCCATGAGGCTATTCGCTGATGGCCCCCGCATTTGCACGGTGCAGGCCTGGTGCTTCGACACTATCAGCAGGAAACCCTGGGTTGCCACTTCAGTCACCTGCATGCTCTTGACGACGCGTCGGTCACACAGGAATGTGATCGACTTCGGGCGCAGCGGCACTCGTGGGAAGGCGCAGTCCCGCTGCGCGAACCTTAATGGTGCATGCGGCAAGCTGGACATTTGGCCCTTTCATGTCTACGAGAGTATTGCCGTCGGACCTGCTGAACCAGTCTGCATCGAGGTACCAGCTGAACCAGACGCTCTTCATACCGATGGACCTGACCGTGAGCCCGTTCCAGCCGATGGGCCGCTGCTGAACGAGATCCTGTTCATGCCGATGTAGCTGCTACTGAGCCAGTTCGCGCCGGTGTGCCTGCAGAGCCAGACCCTGCTCAAGCCGATCGACCCGCTGCTCAGTCTGCTCAGGCCGATGGACATGCTGAGCCAGACCATGTTCGAGGCAATGCACCTGCAGCTGGACCAGTTCGCCCGGAGGCTCCTGCTGAGCCACAGGAGATTCGCGGCGCGGCGGTGTGCACGGGCGGCGTGATAAATTGGTTCTGTTACTTCGTGGAGGTATTCGGCGTGTGCCGTACCTGGGCCTGCACGGCGCCTGCAAGTTCTTCGGCGTGATCTGCTTCGCCGGCTTCCTGGGCTCGTACGTCCCTGTCCATGCCGAGGGTCCTCCTAAGCCAGTTCGCCCTGATATATACCTGCAGAGCCAGACCCTGACGACCATGCTGCTACACCCGCTCATGCTGATGGACCTGCTGAGCCAGAGCCTGTGCATGCCGACGGGCCTGCTGCTGAACCAGCTCGCCGCGATGCACCTGCTGCGCCAGCCCCTGTTCATGCCGATGGACCTGCTGCTGCACCTGTTCGCGCCGATGGGCAAGCTGAGTCGGTCCACTTTCGCCATGCTGGAGATCGGCTTCGTGACCATGTATGGCAGCTGGAGGACCGCCCCATTGGACAGCCTGAGCGGGAGGTGATAGAGTCCACGGAAGGCCATGTGAGCGAGGGGCAGACAGAACATATACGCGCGTTTGCGGTGCAGCTGGTTTCTGGGTCGTTCATAGGTCCCGCCACGCACTCATTTTTCAGACGGCGGCGGATGATCGATGGCGGCGGCGATCATGCGCTGATGGGGTTCTCGCCATCTCCATTTCGGATCCTCCCCGTCTCTAGCTCCTCTCTTGTTTCTGTATGCCACGTCTCTCCCCGACGCTTTGGCGTCCCCGCTACAATGTAGTATTTGTCATGTTTGTCTTCTTCCTCCCTCGTCGCACGCTCGTGCCTCTTGAGGTGAGGGCCTGACCAATTCCTCCCTCGCCGCACATTCGTGCCGCTTGAAGTGCGGGCCTACGCTACGGGCTGTCTCAGCTTTCGAGGGCTCTGCCGGCGGCGTAAGTGGCTTCGGGATGCGCTGCCCTTCGGAAGGCCAGAGAAGACCCCTAGCACCACCCAGCAGGAGCCTTCACTGAGCTGCAGACTGTCCGTCACGGTTACGTCGTCTCCTCCTCCTCCTCCTCCTCCTCCTCCTCCTCCTCCTCCTCCTCCTCCTCTTCATCCTCCTCCTCCTCCTCCTCCTCCTCCTCCTCCTAATCCTCCTCCTCTTGCTCCTCCAGGTGGTCCTCGCGAGCCTCGGCTTTGCCTGCCGCTCGTCTAACTTACCCGCCAGCCGCGGCTGACAGAGAGCAAATAAGGAGATGAGCAGGAGGAGAAGGAGGCCGGAGGTTGGAGGAGGAGGGGGAGAAGGTTTCGGGGGCTTGGAGGAGGGACAGAGGGAGGAGGAGGAAGAGGAGGAGGAGGAGGAGGAGAGATGATGATGATGATGATGATGATGATGATGATGATGATGATGATGATGATGATGATGATGATGATGATGATGATGATGATGATGGTGATGATGGTGATATGATGGTGATGGTGAGGTGAGTGATGATGATAATGATGATGATGATGATGATGATGATGATGATGCTGATGATGACGATGATGATGATGATGATAAGGATGATGATCTGATGATGATGATGATGATGATGATGATATGATGATGATGATGTATGATGATGATGATGATGATGATGATGATGATGATGATGATGATGATGATGATGATGATGATGATGATGATATATGATGATGATGATGATGATTGATGATGATGATGATGATGATGATGATGATGTGATGATGGATGGTGGTGGTGGTGTGTTGGTGTTGGTGGTGGTGGTGGTGGTGTGGTGAGGAGTGAGGAGGAGAGGAGGAGAGAGGAGGAGAGAGGAGGAGGAGGAGGAGGAGGAGGATGAGGAGGGAGGAGGAGGAGGAGGAGGGAGGAGGAGGAGGACGGGGAGGAGGAGCTGGAGAAGCAGGAGGAGGAGGAGGAGGAGGAGGAGGAGGAGGAGGAAACGCATCAGTCCGCACAGGACCGTCGATGCGCGAGGCAAGCCGACGGAAGACTCGAGCTTCGCGTCGGGGCCGTGCTACGTGAAGCACCCCGGAGGGCATGCCGGACAGAGCGGGCGGATTAGAGCGCACCTTGCCCCTCGACTTTGCTCGTTCTCCCTTTCGATATTCGCCATGCTTCGAAAGCTGCATTAACGTAAACTTTCGACGGTCCGCGCGGAGTTCTTGGATTTGCGCTGAGCCCCCCTGGCGCCGGTTCCAGCGCCGCCCCTGGCGTGCTCCGCGCGCCAGGGAGGGAGGTCTGGCGCAGATCTCCAAGAAACCCGCGCGGAACGTCGAAAGTTTATGGTCATGCAATTGTTGCTTCCTCTATCTTCCCTTTGCTGCGCTCCCGCCTCGCATTTTTCCCCCCTGCGCGCCTGTGCGCGCCGTGGGCCTCGGACCTCGTGACTCGTGTGCAGTCCTGGTGCTTCTCTTCGGCTTCGGGTTCCACTGGGCAGCTTCTGGAAACGGCCCAGAGGGCGAAGCAGGTGGCCCAGGAGGTGTGCCTAGATTTAGGTCGGGCGTGTCCTCCTACAGGGGGATTTTCGACGAAACATCTAAAAAATACCCGCAGAATGCCCCAAGAAGGCCAACAAATCTTCAAAAAATAGTCCCCAGACTACTTTGGAGTATTTTTTTTATTATTTTGGGGGTATTTTGCATTTTCCGTCGAAAAGCCCCCCTGTATGGGGGACAGGCCCGACTGAAACTTCGATTCCTGGGGCCCCCGGATCCAACAGGCCACGACTCCGGAGGCTCGGGCGCACGCCCAGGCCGCACCGCCCAGCGCTCACCAATGGGCCCCAGGACGCGTCCGGAGACTCGGGCGCACGCCCAGCCCGCACGCCCAGCGCTCACCAATGGGCCCCGGGACGCGCGCCGCTCTCTGTGTGGGGCCCGCGGGCCCTGGACGAGCCACAACGCCCGCCAGAGGCCGCGGCACACGCCCAGCTCGCGTTATGTCGGGCGTGTCCCCCTACAGGGGGGATTTTCGACGACAAATCAAAAGTACCCCAAAAATACACCAGAAAAGCAAAAAAAACTATTAAAAAAATGTTCCCCGTACTATTTCTGGATTATTATTATTATTATTATTAGTATTATTATTATTACTATTACTACTATTATTATTATTATTGTTATTCTTATTATTATTATTATTAGGGTATTTCTTATTCGTCGAAAATCCCCCTGTAGGGGGACAGGCCCGACTGAAAGCTCGCATCGGCCCTCTGCGCGTCAGCGCCCCCGGCCCGCGCATTCCCCCCTCGCCGTCTTCGACCCTCCTCCCTCTGTAGCCTGCCGAGCCTTCCAGCCTCTCGCCCCGCGTGCGGTCCGAAGCTCACCACCGCCCGACCGATCCCCGGCCCAACGGGGCCGTGCTGTCGCAGCCCTGCAAGCCAGGATTCTGGAGATTACGGCGGAAGAACGCGAAGATGGGGAGCAGTCTCCACGGCCCGTGATGGCAGCTTCCTCGGGTGCGCCGGTGTCCTGGTTTATCGGAGTCCTCCAACACTCGTCAAAAATAAAAGGAAGTATTATGTTTTCGGTACTTGTATGGTCAGCGCTACTCCAATGCTGACACCAGATAAGTGACTTGGACGCGAGGGTATCAAAAATCCGGCACACCCCTCGCAGCATTGAAGAACGCAGTTTCTAACAACCGCTCGAAAATATCGATCTCCGTGATTTCCAATTGCATGTCTGAATATCTTTGACGAGGCTTGTCGTTTGCGGGACCCTGAGGTCTCCGGAGGTCTCTGGAAGCCTTCCGCGCGCGGGAACATCCTGAGTCCAGAGGCATATTCTGGAGGATCGACAGCCTCCCAAGCGGGAGATTCGGCCTCCACTCTAACAACGTCCCCTGTTCTGCAAGCTCTCTGCCCCCCAGAGTGGGGATTTTCGATCCTCCAGCCCTGAGGTTTTCGATCCTCTGGGTTGGAGAGGCTCTAGAGGTCTATCGGCGGTCCTCCAAGACTCGACTCCCGAGGCCTCCTCGTTCGGGGAGGGCCACCAACATCGGAGCGCGCGCGCGCAAGGTACAACTACAACGACCGCCTGCAAGCGGAGCCCGCGGCGCGAGCGCCGAGCCGCCTGGGCAGGGGTGGGGGTAAGCAGGGGCTCGGGCCTGGAAAAGGGTGAGGGACAGGTTGGGCGTCGGGCGGGGACTCTGCCTTGGAGTACACAGCAGCTGGACGTGAGTTCTAACAGAGGGTGTAGCTCGCGCGCGTAATTAGCATCTCCTTGAATTTGCCGTGCTCTTTGTTCAAGGCCTCTCACGAGGCTTATTTTTGAGAGGGGGGAGGGGCGGCCGGGGCCGCAGCTCGCCTGCCCGGCGTGCGCCTCGGGCCTGGCATTCCGAGGGGTGCTGGGTAGTGGCAGGGCCAGGACCCCCCTCCAGTGCGGGCGGCGACCGGAGAGATCGCGCGGCCCGGTGCAGCCGCCAGATGCGGCCAGCCCACACGCTCAAGTGCAGCGTGGCGACGGCCATTTTCGTGTGCTGACTTGGCTGGACGCGTCTCTGGGCGTAGGACTGTGCGCCAGCTTCGCCGCGTCGGCCACGGTCGCGGGGCCCGAGGGCGGCCACGCGCGGGCAGACCCGGGCGAGAGCGACTCGAGCGACAAGGAGGAGCATGATGGGGCAGCCCAGTCGGGACGGCCAGCCCAGCTGCTCTGAAGAGAGCGGCGCGTAGCCGCTAGCCATCGAGGAGTCTGCGGCAGAGCCCGGGCCACTGTCGGCGGCAGCGACCCTCGCTCTTCCGGGACCCCCGGCCACGGATCCGCCCACAGCCAGGGCCGACCCCGCGAGCGCCCCCAGCCAATTGGTGAGTTCGAGTACTACTACTACCAGGGCTACTTCTACGCGGACGCCAGCCCAGCGGCGGCACCCGCCCAGCCACCCCCCAGCGAGGCCACCAGGGCGAGCCCTGAGCAGGGGGAGGGCGTTGCCATCGGAGGAAAGGAAACGCATGGCGAGCCAACGGGCGCGCCTGGCACGTCGGTGGCAAGAGGCAGGCGGGGCGAGGGGCCAAGCTCGGCGCCTGGTACTGCGTGTCCTGGATCAATGCATCGGTCGAGGCAGCTCTGAAGTGGCTCGGCGAACAGGTCGGGCGCGCGCTGGGCGCTGTGCTGCGTCAGCTCATCTCCTTCGTGATGGGGATGGTCGACGCCATGGGTCGTTACCTGTTCGGTGAGTACTGGGCGAAGCTGCAGTGGGCGGCCATGGGACTCGCGGCGCTCGAGGTGGCCACCATCCTAAGCTCCGTCGTCGGCTGTGTGGCGTGGTTCCTTCGAACGGCATGGGCGCGCACTGCGTTCGTCGCAAGGGCGTTGAGAGGCTTCGCTGGCGGCAGCAAGACGGGCCATGATGTCAAGGTGGCCCTGGGAGGCGACCCAGCCTCAGCTCTGTCTCGGCATGGCCCATCCGAGGTCGAGGCAGCGGACGATGCCCGCGTGGTGAACGAGATCCGCGCGAGAGGGGGCATCGCCGAGAAGATGACGCCCAACGACCTCATCGCGGAGCCAGGCGGGCCAGTTGCGCGCTTGGAGCAGGGGCCTCTCGAAGGTAGTCGCCGCACCAGGCACGGGTGCGTCCGCTTCAGGGGAGCGAAGGGCAGCTCCCACCGCTACCTCAAGGACGACCTCGAGGCGACCAGGGGCGAGGAGGGCATCGGAGCGGCGCACCTTTGCGCGGCCACCCCGTGCGCCCTGTCGGAGGGCGAGAGGGGCGTGGCCCGCGTCTGCTCGTCGCGCGCGGTCGGCGCCAGCTTTCGCGTCAACAAGACGGACCCGGCCAAACTCGCGCCCGCGGGCCGTGCGCATGCGGGCGGCAGGGTCTGCCGTGCATGGGCGCGGGAGCATTGGCAAGCTCGTCGCGCGCATGCTCGCGCGCCTTTGCAGGAGGCGCCAGAGGCGCCCGAGGCCCGGCAAGGGGGGCGGCAAGGCAGAGGAGATGGTTCCCAGCTCCGAGACCGAGTCAGAGCCCAGCGTCGACATCTGCGAAGCGGACAAGATCGCCCACCTCTGGAAGGGGGGCGCGCAGGTCCTGTGCCCGAAGGGCTGCAGAGACTCAGCCCGCCAGGGCCCAGTCTACCCGTTGGCGGAGGATGCGGCGATCTCGGACGCGCGCGGCGCCCCGGAGGCGGGCGGCGCCCGCATTTTCCGGGCGCGCTCCTTCCGCGCGCAGACCTGCGAGGCGCGGGCGGCGCAGAGGGCGCCCGTGCTCATTGCTACAGGGAGAGGGCCACGGAGGAGGATGGGTTCCCCCTCCGCGCGACGCGCGCGGCCGATCGGGTCGCAGCTTGGCGCAGCCGCTCCACTGCTCCGGGGGGCTGAGCCTTCGCCATCATGCCGAAGGGCAGGAGGCCCGCCAGGCGCGCGCGGATCGCCGCTTGCAGTGGCGAGCGCAGGAGCCAGGAAGGGCAGCCTCGCAAAGGCGGCAGCAGAGGTGGCCTAGCTGATCCACGCGAGGGCCCCATGGCCGACGCGACCGCGAGCTGGGGCGCGCACTGAAGCTCCCCCGCCGACTTCATCGGCCCGCGCGGCTGAGGGCGCCGCCGAGAGCGACCCCCGCGCCGACGTGGAGACGGTCGGCCATGGCCTCGCCTTCTCCATCCTTGATGGCGCCCTGTCGGCCCCGCGCCCAGAGCTGCTCGACGAGTTCATCAGCTCCCAGCCCCCGGCCATCTGCTGGAAGTCGATCAGGCGTGGCCCTCAGGCTCTCGAACCATAGGGGCGGCGCCAACTACCGAGGGGATAGTTTGAGCCCGCTATCCGCGGCCGCCCTGAGCAAGGAGCGGAGTCGCCACCACCTGGGCCGCAGGGCGAGATCCCGGAGCAGGAGCGCTACGCCGACGAGAGAGGAGGTGCGCAGCGACTTCGACGAGAGCTCAAGAGGGCGCAGGCGCAAGATGGGGAACAGAGGAGACGGGACCCTCGCGCAAGCCTCATCTCAGACTACCTGGGCCGCAGGGCGGACGGCCAGACAGACGCTTCGGCTCGAGGTGCCTTGTCTGCCGAGCGAGGAGCGGGAAGACATGAGTTTCTCGCCGCGCTCATTGAAGCCGCCGACGCGATGCGCGAGGGCGCGGTCAGCGAAATCGGACTCGGCTTGCTTCGGGGGCGCCAGGCCTGCAGGGAGCTCGAGAGCGGAGACGGGCGCGGCGTTGGGGCGGCAGGGCGGCCCGCAGAGACGGAGGGGCTGCCGTGCCTGCCGACGGCGGGGAGTTCCCTTCCCAGCGCCGCGCCGCCCGGCTCGGGGCCTCCCGCCCAGCCACCCCTGGACCGACCGCCCGGGGCGCCCGCGCCATTGGCGGGGGCCCCGCGGGCCCGCCTCCCTTTGGGCCGAGGCCACCGGCGGGCCTAGGGTTCGCCGCCTTCGGCCAGAGGCCCGAGGCCTCCAGCTCAGCCATCGCCGGCAAGGTGTTCTACAACGTTGGGGGGCCCAGCTCCACCTCCTCGTGGGGGTGCGGGCCCTCGCCAGAGGCGTCCTTCGTGGAGCGAATCGCTGGGCCCAGGGAGTGGCGCGCGCGCGCCTCCTCCATGCCCCGGGAGGAACGAATCCTGGCGGGGCCGCCCCCCGAGACCGAGCTGGGACTCGGCTTGCAGAGCCTCGTCCGAGAGTCGGGGCGGGCCGACGAGCGCGCAGGGGGGGCAGGAGGAGCAGCCAAAGGCACGCTGGCCAGCACCGGCCGGGCGGAGGAGCAGCTGGCGTTCACGGCCAGGGGCTGCGACCATTTCAGCGTCGCCCTCTGTTCGGGCCCGCTGGGGAAGGATGCGTTTCACGGCCTTCGGTCGGCGGGGCAGAGCTCGAGGCCGTTGTTCCGATCTATCAAGTTCTCTATGGCGTTGGCGATATCGCCGAAGCCATCGCTTACGGCCATGCTGCTTTTCAGCACGGGGGGCGCGACCGCATCCACCTCCTTGACTACTGCCTCAGCTGCGCAAACTCCCCGAATACGTCGGATGCGGACGTGGACAACTTCGCGCCACCCAAGGACTACAAGCTCGAGGCGCGACCTCGACGCGCGCCCACTCCTCGGCATTGGTTCCCGGACGCCAAGCGGGGGGCGCGGGGGCGAGAGTGCTTCCACGGGCAAGAGCACCACGAGCAGCAGAAACAGGTCAAAGCGGCCGCGCAGCTGCTCAAGACTACGCGCGGCCCCCCCGACGTCACCCGCGGCATCTGGGCGGTGCTGAGGGGCAGGTGGCGCGAGGAGTTGCGGATGAAGAGGGCCAAGACTGGGGCCCATGGGGGGCGAGAGCCCGACGTGGGACAGGATCCGCTTCGTGCTCGCGTCGCCCAGCAGCGCGGGCGACCCAGGGCCGCGGTTGGAAATGCCCAGGACATGCTACTTGGACGAGCCCGATCATCACTTCATGCCTGCGTTCATGGTCCAGCGCCACAGCAGACTCCAGCGGTCGCAATGGCAGACGGCGTTCCGCTCCGCGGCCGTTCGGCCTCAGTCAGCGCAGCCGGCAGCTGGCCGCCGCAGGGCGGGCGCAGGAGGCGCGGGAGGAGCGGCGGGAGGAGGAAGTGGCGGCGCGGCAGGCGGAGGAGGCAGCAACGGCGGTGCCGATGCAGCGTATCCCGCCACATCCGCCGCGATCGTGACGCACATCGCCGGAAAAGTGCAAGGGCGCGCGCGCGTGTGTGTGTGTGTGTGTGTGTGTGTGTGCGTGTGTGTGTGTGTTTGTGCGTGTGTGTGTGTGTGTGTGCGCGTGTGTCCATGTCCTTGTGTGCCTGGTTCCACTGGAGGCCCTTGGGGTCAGAGTGCCTATGCAGAGCCACCCTGCTGCGGGTCTCCAGAGCCAGTCTCGCTATTTCGGTGCCCGGTTACACCCGCGACTTGCCGGTTGTTTCCTCCGCCTAGTTGCCGCTCTCCGGGAGTTTGTGCAGCGTCATGGCTGGCACGGTGGGTTTATGGCTACGGCATGCTACCCGCCGTGCCCGCTTGGGCCGGCTTTTCTCGTTCTTGTAGGTAAGCCCTTGCAGTCGGGCTGCGGGCGCGTTTTAGACGCCACGCTTTTGTCGTACCTCGTCTCCTCTTGCCACTGTGCCTCAGTCCGTGTGTGCATGGCCGCGAAGGCCTTCTCCAAGTGCATGCGCATACTAGCGTTTTTTCGCAAGTGTCTGCCCCCATCCACACCACCCATCCGCTACACCAGGTGAACATTCGCCTGACCATGTCCCGGTTTAGCTCGTCGCGACTGTGTCACCACCTCGCCATTGGAGGAAAAGTGTGCGTGAGTGCATCCTGCGCCGCTCGGCACCGGGGTGTATGCACATTTTCACGTCTCTGCACGTGTCGCTTCGCTCGTCCGCCCACTCCGCCCACTGACTGGGGTATTTTTTCCTTGCGCGCTGTCTTGCCTTGCACAGTCCAAGTGGTAGCTCGCGCCCATGGCCATCACGAGACTCGCTACTCTGGCGCCACCTGGCCAGCGGAGGAAAGGTGTGTGTGTGTGTGTGTGTATTTGTGCTTGCGTGTGCACTCTTGCGTTTGAAATTGTGCGTAATTTACGTTTGACCATCCTGTTAGGGTACCGCGCGCTCGTGACTCAAAGAACTGGAGGAAGACAACGTAGGTGGGGGTGTTTTTGTGTGGTGGTGGGGTGGGCTGGGGGGAACGATTGGAAGACTACCGATTTCTTCCCCGGGGATGACGGCGGACATTTGCCCCGTATCCGCAGGAAGCATTCGCGAGGGTCGAGGGACCTGGGGAGACACACCCGCGAATGCAGCAGCTTCGGACGACCACACCTTGCATACTCGAGGAATGAAGCAAGGGCCTTCGATTGCACTGTGCGTACAGGAGGTCATTTGCGATACTATCTGGTAGACCATACAGGTGGCCATGCGGGATGCTAGACGGGACGCCATACGGGAGACCACACGCGAGTCAATACGGGAGCCCATGCAGGAGGACCTTTCACAAGACAGGAAAGCACATACAAAAGACCATGCGGGAGAGAATGTGGGATACCATTTAGCCATATTGGAAATAAGACGGGAGGCCATACGGGAGACCATACAGTTAAGTCGGGCCTGTCCCCCTACAGGGGGAGTTTCGACGAAAAATAAAAAATACCCAAAACATAATCAAAACAAGAATCCAAACATAGTCAGCGGACTATTTTTTGAGTATTTGTTTGACCTTTTTGGGGCATTTTTGGGGTACGTTTTATTTTTCGTCGAAAATCCCAATGTAGGGGGGCACGCCCGACATAACCATACAGTAGACCATACAGGAGACCACACGGTAGACCATACGGGAGACGATACGGGTTACCCAGTTTGTTTAGGGAATGATGTGTTTGTTCTCGCGCGCCATGCGGAGCCGCTTGCCCCGTCAATGAGGAGCCAGACTCCTACATGTCACCGCACATCGGGCCGACGCGGGGCGTGACTGTGAACCCAGAGCTTCCAGATGGCGAGCTGCGCATATTCGGTGCCAGGGAGGGAGGGACTTTCCCGTTTTGTGAACGCTGCCGATGTTCTCCGCCCTCATCTAGTGGCTCCGATCTGTGGTGTGCAGTCAAGCAAATGATATGTGCGCGTGTTGATCGCTTACTACTTTCAAGGCAGCTGCACAGCCTCTTGTAAGTTATGATGCTGATTGCCCGCTCTGGCTTCTCGGGTAATTATGCTTACGTGACGGCGCGCATCGCTAGGACTTTGTGGGATGAGGAGAAGGCTGAGGAGCAGGGGAAGGGGCAGAAGGGGGAGGGTAGGAGGGGTGAAGTCAGGGATGAGGGTTTGAGGCGGAGGAGGAGGGGAACGGGAGCAGGGGTAGAGGAGGGGAATGGGACAGAGGAGGCGGAGGAGGAGGAGGAGGAAGGAGGAGGAGGAGGAGGAGGAGGAGGGTGAGGAGGATAAGGAGACTCGTCTCGACTCGCGCTGTCATATAGCGCCAGATTGCATCACAATTGCCAGGGAATGTGTTGCCCCAGTTCAACCTCGTCTCTACTTTCCTCCTTCTCCTCCTGGCGCCACCGTCGCTGGCCGCGCTCCTCCTCCTCCTCCTCCTCCTCCTCCTCCTCCTCCTCCTCCTCCTCCTCCTCCTCCTCCTCCTCCTCCTCCTCCTCCTCCTCCTCTTCCTCGCGCTACAAGAGAGGAGACTTGAAGGCGGTGAAGGAGAAGGGGGAGCAGCAGGTGGACGGGCCTGGGGACGAGGATGAGGACGAGGCCTAGGAGGACGCGGACGACGGGGGCGAGGACGAGGACGAGGAGGAGCATCCAGGAGGGCTGGGTTCGGAGCAGTCCCCGAACGGGCCCCGTCGGCGAGGACGCTGCCAGGCGGAGCTGGCGCAATGGAAAGCTCCAGCCCGCAGCAGCAGGAGGAGCACCCTCTCCTCCGACGCCGCAGCCCTCACGTGCCGTGGGCCTCCCGAGGGCCAATTATTTGGGGCACGCGAGCCGCTTCCTGGCGGCCCCCGGGCCGGGCAGCGACCTGCACAGGCCGGCGCACAGAACAGCACCTGGCCGCCGCTCTATCTGCTGCATCGCCCGAGTCGGAGGGCAGAAGGCGGAGGGAGCCCAGACACTTTCGCGCTGTGAAGAAATCACAGCGGGAGGTCTTTCACTATTTTCGGCCCCCGGGGGCCCTCACCGGGCCCGCGGGACCGTCAACAAACGACTCAGGATGACAGGCCGGTCCCGGGGAAGGGGTCCAGACCTCGGGGGGTCGACGTTGTTATACATATATATATATATATATATATATGTATATATGTATATGTATATATATGTACAGAAATACATTTTAAAAAAAGAAAAGTAAAAAAGAGAAAAAGAGAGAGAACAAACAAAAAAAACGTCGGGGGTCTGGGAGGAGGGAGACGGCCGGCGCGACCCGCGGCGCGCCGGTGCGCAAGCACAGAGGCTTCGCCGGGTTTGGGGCCCAAGGGGCCATCACAGATCGATCCGGCCCCGGAGGTGCAGCAGGAAGGTGGGGTCTGGGGCTCCCGTCACGGTTTTCCGTGGTGTGCCAATTTTTTCGCCCCGTCGGATCTCGGGGAAGTTCCCGAGCCCTTCCCGTGATTCCAGATCCGCTGCAACTTGGTTGATGCTACTATTTTACATTGCGTCGGACATGCTTCCCGCAGGGTGCCAAGAAAAGAGGCGGCAATCGCGGCCTCGTAAAAGAAGGGTGGATTTTCCGTTTTGCCTTTGTTGAAAGTTTCATAAGTTTGCAGAACGTTCCACAATGTTGTGGAGCGTTCCGCAATCTTGCCCCAACTCTTTCCTCAAAGCAGGGCGGACATCCGCAAAAGTCTGGCGGAAACGGCGACGGAAAAGTGGGGCGGAAATCGGCATCAAAGGAGCTCGAACCACAGGGCAGGCATGTCCACCCCATTTATACGACATCGCCCAGAGTAGGGCGGAGCCCGAGTCAGGGCTCCCGGGGATAATTAAAGGTTTGCGCCTCCGATCCGTGTTTGCTGCCCCGGGGCCCGAAAGCGGCCTCCTGAGGCCAAAGTTGCCCTGAGGATGCTAAGTCCGTACAGTCATCGGCCTGACCTGAGGAACGATAAATAAGGAACGAAGCCCCTTTATTATCCCAAGGAATAACGCATAAGGAACGATAAATAACAAATAGCGCATAAGGAACTGTAAATAACGCATGCAAGCCTAAGGAACGACCGAGCCCCTTTTGAAAAGTAAGTGTTCCTTACTCAAGCCGCTCACTGTACGGAATAAGTTCAAGTCCGTCTGGAGTGCTGGGCCTCCGTCTTGTTTTAGCCCCTCCCGATCGGATGCGAAGCCCAGGCGGGGCATGCATCCGCACGGAGTGCTCGGCCTCTGCCTGGGCTTTCTCCGTCTGGACTGGGCCTCCGTCTGACGAGCTCCGCGATGGGAAGCAGCATCTCGTCGCTGGCCTAGGAGGAGGATGAGGAGGAGGAGGAGGAGGGGGGGGAGGAGAGGAGGAGGAGGAGAAGAGGAGGTGAGGAGGAGGAGGAGGGAGGAAAGGAGGGGGGAGGAGGAGAGGAGGAGGAGGAGGAGAGGAGTAGGAGAGGAGAGAGGAGGAGGAGGAGGAGGAGGAAGGAGGAGGAGGAGGAGAGGAGGAGGAGGAGGAGGAGGAGGAGGAGGAGGAGGAGGAGGAGGGAGGAGGAGGAGGAGGAGGAGAAGGGGGCGGCAGGCGACCTGCCGCTGGCGCTCTTCGAGGGCGCGCCGGGCGACGGCTGAGCGGGGCCGCCGCGGCCGCCCTTCCGCGCCCGGTGCGCCGGTGGGCCGGGCGACGGCCGGCCGGCGGCGGGGGCCGGGCGGCCCGCCGGCCGCTCGCGAGGTCCGCAGAGATCCGCAGGGCCGGAAAAAGTTCGAGGAGGATCGGGCTCCTCCTCCTCCTCCTCCTCCTCCCTCCTCCTCCTCCTCCTCCCTCGTCCTCCTCTTTCTCCTCCTCCTCCTCCTCCTCCTCCTCCCCTCCTCCTCCTCCTCCTCCTCCTCCTCCTCCTCCTCCTCCTCCTCCTCCTCCTCCTCCGGGCGGGCATGTGCATCTCGAGAGAATCGGAGCCCAGACATGCTCGCGTCGTACAAAGAGCAGGACGGAGGTTTTGCACCGTTTTCGGCCCCGCGGGGGGCCCTCGCCGGGTCCCGGGACCGTCACAAAACGCCTCGGGACGAAAAACCGGTCT